CACAGGCAGCTCTCCATGCGACATTTTGACAAAATAACTGGGTCAGGTTACAGCCTGTTCCTATTATCACAGCAATCTAGATTTATGGTTTCTAACACCAGCCCTACAAGAAATAATGGAAATAATGACAACAACAATCCCTGCTAGACAACGGACTACAAAAAAGCATAAAATAAACCACAATTTGAAGTAACCAGAAAACTAAATATCTCTGACAATGCTTCAAATATGAGGCAGGTATCAGCAAATTATCCATTAAATTTTTCCGCAACCTCTCAAAATCTCAGCAAAAAAAATTTCAAATCAGAGTTTCTAGTCTAAAACTGATATATAAATGTACTTATCATTATTGAGTACTATATTTTCTTTTAATAACCATCAAAGACAAAGTGTTTCTTTTGAAAAGATTAAAATCTACCAAGTTAATAAAAATAAAGATAATTACTTTTCAAGTAACTTTAAACTATATTGAAAAATAATCCAAATAATACTTTAAATCTATCAAAAGAAAAAAAGACACAACAGTTTCACAGCAAAGGGCATGATTACAACTGTGTTCAAAGGCAAGAGAACTGGAGAAGAAACACATCTGCTTCACTCACTGCTTAATTTAAAACTAAATATATAATCAAAATCTTAAACCAGCTAAAAATGATGAAAGGTGGGAAAAGTAACCAAATGTTTAAAAAAATGAAAAACTTTGTCAATACATGTGCTTAAAAGACTATGTCAAGGCTACAGGGTACATGCCAAGCAAATGAAGCTGTTTATGTCTGGAATTCAGCACAGGTTAATCCTTATGAGAAACAGAGGTCGAGAAAAATCAAATATGTAGTCTAAAGACAAGACACAAAGAGAATCCCACCAACTTTTCCCTGAGAAAAGAAAGCATCTTCAAGGTATGCCCTAGAATTGTAATATATCTGTCCTTTCTGAAGTCTACAATAGCATGTTACCACAAAAGGTGGGCACTCTCTTTCTACTCTTACAACAATTTGCTCCTCTAAACTTTAGGAAGGGGCAGAGCCACAGCCATAAACACAGGTCACAAGTAAGTAGTCAAATGCTCTCTATTTTCAAATGTTTTCCAGCCCTTTACTCATACAAAGCTTCTTTTTTAAAAAAATTCCTTGGTTAAATAAGGAACTCATCTAGCCTAGGTCATATGAGTATGAAATTAAATTGAACAGCGCCATCATATAAACTGCTTTATAGGAGTCTCAAATCTTTCACTTTTAACACAATAAAATATCCCTATTTCTTACATTAAAACCTTTCCATTACATGCCCAAAAAATGAAAGAGAAAGGTTTAGATATATATGTTTAGTAGAAATCACTTAGTACAAAAATCACTATTATTATTTCTAAGGTGGCCAAGGTTTACTTATATCAGACAACATAAAAACAAAATAAGCAAAAATGTCTTATTCATGAAAACCAAAAAACATATGCACATTTCAAATCCTAGCTGGTTTCTGAAATTTTCTCAAGGTACCCAGCTTTAAAAACCACCACCTCTACTATCTTTTTTTTTTAAGATTTTTATTGGGGAATTGGGGGGATGGGAACAGTGCTGGGGAATTGGGGGAAGGGGAACAGAGAAGTTGCTGTCATTTTTGTCTTCAGTCTAGTTGTGGAGGACGTTGCTTCACTGGCCCAAGTTGGCACCATCATTGCGCTCTTCCCGGGCGAGGCACATCACTCGCTGGCTTCTGGACAGCAGCTCACTGCGGCTGCTGGCTACACACGGTAGCCCATGGCAACCCACTGCCACAGGGGCTGCAGCCTACGCCGTCACCTGCAACTCACGGCAGCCCAGCTCCAGGTTGAGCTGTTGTTCAGCATCTTAGCTGTGGAGAGCAGTGTCACTGGCCCTCATTATGTGGGATCCAAACCAGGGCCCTCTGGCATCCCAAGCCAGTTCTTAACCATAACGCCACTCGGCTGGCCCTCTGCTATCTTTTTAAAAATAAGATGTTATCACTGAAATAAAGGCATTTCTATGCTTAGTAGCCAAAGCCCAAACCAGTTAGAATCTGGAAAACTTACCACTAAACTATACTAACCCATTTTAAGATTTTTTTTTAATTGGGGAATTGCGGGGATGGGAACAGTGCTGGGGAATTGGGGGAAGGGGAACAGACAAGTTGCTGTCGTTTTGTTCTTCAGTCTAGTTGTGGAGGACGTTGCTTCACTGGCCCAAGTTGGCACCATCATTGCGCTCTTCCCGGGTGAGGCAGATCAGTCGCCGGCTTCTGGACGGCCGCTCACTGCGGCTGCTGGCCGCTCACGCTGGCTGCTCACCGCTCACGCTGGCTGCTCACGCTGGCTGCTGGCTACATACGGTAGCCCATGGCAACCCCCTGCCACAGGGGCTGCAGACTACGCCGTCACCGGCGACTCACGGCAGCCCAGCTCCAGGCTGAGCTGTTGTTCAGCATCTTAGGTGTAGAGAGGGCAGTGTCACTGGCCCTCATATGTGGGATCCGAACCGGGGCCCTCTGGAGTCCCAAGCCAGTTCTTAACCATCGCGCCACTCGGCCGGCCCTATACCAACCCATTTTAATCTAAGATAAACAGCAGTGGTTTTGTTCATCAGTCCCCAAGACAAAAGGATCATAAATAGCAAGACCCCAAGCTGAGGAAGGATAAAGTTTTTCTTTCAAAATCACTAACATTTGCCATTTTCAAAATTTCCACATTTCTGGTTCCTGAAATCGATTAATAATCACTTCAAATTCTAAGATATTATGTAGTAATTTTCAGACATTCATAATGTTCCTAAAATTCTTAGGATTGCTTGATTTGCTTACTCCAAACTACAAAACATCTCCTGGCAATGCCAGACCAATATTCACACCATAGCCTCACAGCTCTAACATTGATGGCTGTGTTCATATTTTGTATACCCGAAGACCAGAAATGTGACTATGAGGAAACAATGAGACTCCCAGGGAAAGGAGCTAATACAGAAGATGACCTCAGATTTCCATTCACAACTGGAATGAGAATAGAGCTGGCATAAAGGGGGGCGGAGGGGAAGTTACAGACAGGGTAACCTGGCAAAAAAAAAAAAGGACTAGAAGTGACTAATAACTCAAATAGCAGAGGATCCCTTGCATCTGCCAGTGTTCCAGCTCCTAAAGTTAGAAGTCATTTCTATTAACCCAAAGAGAGGGGCAGTAAAATACTCAAGTGAAATTTTTCCTCCTACCCCTCTCCCTACTCCCCAAGCACTCAAACTAAAACTGAGATTTGGATCTTCCTTAAACGGAACAAGGAGCTACATCATTTTCACTGAAGAGAATTGGTATTTACTCAGCTTTTTCAAGGCACTTTACTATCGTCAATTATTTCTCCGTTAGGCAGCGCAGGATTACCCTGACCATTTCAATGATGCGGAAACAGACACCAACAGCAAAGGGAACAGGGGCAGGAAGAGGGGTGATAGGAAGCATCTGGGAGGAACAGGCAGGCAACTCAAAAGGAGCAAACCCAAAAGAAAATGAGAGTCACATCTGGCTATAGCTGACCATCATAACCCTTGTTATTTTTGAGCTCAGAGAAATTTCTGAAACATTTTGAAAAAAGAAAGTGCTCTAATTTATCAGTGACTTAATATCTAGTTATAGCCTAAACTACTTGGTCATAAAAGTCAAGTTTTTTAGCATTAAAAATAACCAATCTCCAGAGCACATTTTTATTTCAACTTATACCCGCCGTGCATTTCCCCCCAATATGTTATCTGTTTGACCCAGAAAATAATCTCATAAAAATGTATAGCTTTACATAATCATAACAAAAGCACAAAGTTAATATTAAGTCAGAAAATTCAGTTACATCCAGAATTTTGTTTAGACAATTATGAGCAAAACCCCTGAATTCACCCTTGAAATAAAAGGACTTGTTCTACATTCATATTGATTTTCTTAGCTATAACCTTGAACTTTTCAGGAATAAACTAGACAGGAAGCCTTAGACACCCAGAAACCAGCACACATAGCAGCCTCTGAATACATGTACATTAACTGAACTTCATACTACAGGCAGCAAAGGCTCTTAATAAATGTGTTGATTAAAGCATAAATCAAAAGGACTGACCAACTGCTTCATGAGAAAAACTGATACCATCTCTTTAAGACTGACTTCCTCCATCACCATATATTTGATCAAATATATGGTGATGGAAGGAGAACTGACTCTGGGTGGTGAACACACAATGTGATAGATATATAGATGATGCAGTACAGAATTGTATACCTGAAATCTATGTACATTTATTAAGATTTGTCACCCCAATAAACTTTAATTTAAAATTAATAAAAACAAAAATTTTAAAAAATAGTTAAAACGATAAAAAGAGTGACTCCAATGTTTTTTGTATTGGGTTGTCAGAAAAGTCATGACGTATTTTTTCTAAGCTTTTCATTGCAAAAATGAATCATGACTTTTCTGACAACCCAATACATATATCATCAGCTTTAAAGCATCTTCACAGATAATGTAGTTCAGTCATTTTTTTCCAAACTATCAATTTCAAAACAAGCCTTATTCTCTGGAGGAAAACAGGTATACACCCCTAAGAAGCTTGTATGGTTGTGTCATATATATGACATTTATTTTATAAGTTCAAAGCCATTTTAAATGGTGTTTCACTAAGTTTTTGAAACAATTCTATCAGACTGTTTTGAAGACTGTGGATAAAGCTACAGCCAAACACATACAAGGGATTAGATGAGTGTTCATAAAGTCACTCCTTTCTCAAAATCCCAATTGGACTCATTTTCAAAAGCTTCTTTTCACATTCCTCCCATTAAATATACAAAACCACAGAAGGAAAGAACATTCATCCTTGGAAATACATTATTTAATGAGTAATTAAGAAAAAGAAAGGCAAAATTGTCATTACTGAAGAATATTCCCAAGCAGTTATTGATAAAAACTATCTCCAATAATTTTGTAAATCTTATGATCATAATGAAATACTCACTTTCCTTACCTCCGTTTCACCCACTAACGGATCCATTCACTTTCTACAGATGTCCCAAAGTCACCCTACAAGTAAATCATAAATGCTAATCTTTTAATTCTTCAAAATAAAGGCCAATTTCAAACTGTAATCACATTTTGTAATGAACAACAAATGTTTTACAACCTTTTTTAAAAAAATCAACAGTTTTAAATGGGAACTTATGACTAAATACCTGTGCTGCCCAAACATTTTCGTGGAGGAGACCAATTACAGTTCAGCCCTCAAAGCTACGTAGATTTACACTAGGATGCAGCACAACCACTATCCAGGTGGAAAAAGCGAGAACGCTGTCTCTAAACGAAGTCAGCAATGGTCCCTAGCCCGTCATGCCGCGAAAGCACGCGGCTGCTCCTCAGGCGAGTAGGAGCCCCGCTCTCCGTCGTCCCCGCCCCCCCCACCTCAGGGCGGGAGGCGCCCTACCGCCCCGCATCTCCCCCTAGCACAAGCTAATGGCGCTCCCCCCTTCTCCCCT